CAACTTTGCTGCCCTACATATGTTCTTGCATTATCAAAAAGCATAATATAGATGGTTTGCAGTAAATCCCATGTATGAATCATCCATATACATTATTAAAGTCACAATTATTTAATCAAATTCATATTTCATTAAACCTATAATGAACAAAAGGACACTACCTTCAACTAATTATTCAAATTGTCACCATCTCAGGCATTACAACAAAAAGATTCATTAAATCAGCCAAAAATAACATGCTATGTTGATTAAATCAAATCAACAACCTAGAAAAAGCTATAATTCAAAGCTTATTAAAAGTAGCTCTGTATTTATGGAGTTATAATGCTTATAAAAGCAATCAATTAAATTCAAAATTTGTAGGAATCCAAATGGCAAAAGATAGTAAGGTCAAGCACAATGGCTTTGTCAAAGTTTCTGAAAGGCAAACAAAGAAATTAAATATTAAAGACTAAAGAGAAGGAAACCTAAAGCAATTGAGCCAACCTAACATGTTGATAAAGTATTGAATTTTTAATTTTAGTGATTCAATTCTAATAATTTTAATTATATATAAAAAAAAAAAAAAAACAAAGCAATTGATCACTTCAGCAACAAAAACACCTTTTAAGTTGATTCCGCACTCAACCAAGCTTTTGATCTAGTTTGCAGCCATAAAGAGAGGGGAGAGGGAGAGATAATTTTTTTTGCTTTGTCTAAAATAAAGCTGCAATCCCAAACTATCTTGAAGAAGTTGGAAAAAAAGAATTAACAAAAAGAAAAGATCCCACCTTTCACTCTAAAGCATAGTCTCATCTGTATTATGTCCAGCCAGCTATTTTGTACAACACAACATCAAATATTTCCTAGTTAAATATTGTTACCTACAAATTTGGTCATGCAGATGCTAACCACTTTGAAAATAATGGGAAGGGACAGATTGCATTTAAAGAAATAAAACTAGTCTATTATTATAGATACAACCATATAGTATTCTTGCATTTTTGGTACAACGCATTCAATTTTTACATTTTTTATAACATGCTATATATGTTGAGTTTCAAAAGGACATTCTAGTTCTACCAATTAAAAATAGAGTCCAAGTTAAATGTTTGTCCATTTGAAAGTTAAATTGAAAGTTCTCATCAGTTATAAAATAACCTAAAATCACCTCTTGGTGAAATGGAAGTCCTCCAATCAAACTTTGGAAACTCTCAAATTTGAATTCTAAAAAGAAAATATAAAACTTTACTATTCACAAATCATATGTTGGGGTTATATACTTAATCTTTCACATATCAAACATTCAATATATATGTGCTTGTTAGATATGTATAGTGTAATATGTTGATCATACAATGGGAAAAAAAAGTAGTGTCAAATGCTTGTTAATTATATAGGAGTATGTAGATAGAGATAAACTAAGCAATTAAAAGCAATGTTGAAAATATATAAATAATTTACCTAAGTTATTCCACCAGCAGCAATTAATAATAATGATGCAAATTAAAGCCAAGTTCCAACCTGCCAAGAAGTACACTAAGGAAAGGGAAAAACCGAAAAGGGGCTTGCTTTGTTCCTATTGATTTTGCTCAAATGAACGGAAATCAGGAGCAGTGAGAGAGCCCTAAAGGAATTCCAACTAATGAAAATGATCTGGCTAGATTTGGCACCAGAAAGCCTGGCTGCCTGCCTGCCTTCCATGCAGTAGGATCATCATTGCTTATTTATCTCAGTTTGGGAAAACGTTTTCAGGGGAAAAGATATCAATGAATCCAATCCATTGCCACCCATCAGCTTCGATGTTTATGGGAATAACAAACCAATATGAGTTATTGTTTGTGCCAGCTCTGTGTATGGGTTGCTGCTGCAAGTTTTAACTTGGTTCCTGTGCTGGAGCAGTTGATACAAATCATGAAGAACTGAAATTTCGGTGGTTGAATTCAGAAACACAATTTTCTTTTAAATATGTCACAACTTCGGACGTGTGGGAGGACATGTAGCAATAATGAGCAAAAAAATGGTTGGTAAAATGAGACTATTTTTTACTAAACAAAATATATTGTGCAGATGAGACACAGCTGATATCAAATAGCACTATTTAAGTCAAGGCAATAGGATTTGGCAATGATTAAAGGGAAATTTGATTGTACTCCCTCCATTAGAATCCAAATTATCCAAGAAACTTGTTCACATGTAGCAGATAATTCCAACGATTAATCCAAAGTAACTAGTATATATAGTTGGGAAAAAATCTTAATCCAAAGCGATTTCTCTCTTTCTTTTCTTTTTAGGATTAAATAATAGTTTATCTCACACGTAATATATATTTTTTATCAGTTTGATATTTTAAAAAATAAAATTATCAATTTAGTACTTTAATTTTTATTCTAACATCCACTTTGACATTTTGAACTAATATTATTAGCCAACTTGTTGATGTGACGTAAACATCTAATGAAATATTGACACGTGTTAAAAAAGTTTAGTTAATGTAATATCATCAATTATAGGTCAAAATTAAAAGAAAATTTCAAAAAAATTTCAAAAAAATCTATAATATTTTTAAAAATTAAAAAAATCTTAAACATTTTTAAAAAGTTATAAAATTTTTTAAAATATATGAAATTTTAAAAAAAATTGAAAAAAAATCAATAATTTAATAAAAATAAAAAATTTTCAAAAAAATAAAAAATAAAAAATTTTAATAAAATAAAATTTTCTTAAAATTCAAAAAATGATTCACAAAATATAAATAATTGAAAACTAAAAAATTTGAAATTTTTTGAAAATTTTGAAAAAATTCTAAAAATTAATAAATTTCAAAAAAATATGAAACATTCTAAAAAATTCTAAAAAACAAAAAATATTTTAAAATTTTAATAAAAATCCAAGAAAATTTAAAAAATTCAAAAAAATATTAAGATGTAAATTTTAAAATTAAAAAATAAAAACTTTTTAGAATTTTTTTAAAAAAAGTTAGTTTTTTCTAATTTTCAAAATTTTTAAGTTTTTGTAAACCTTTTTTTTAATTTTAAATAAATTTTATTTTTATTTTTATTTTTCAAAAAAATTTTAGATTTTTATCAATTTTTTATTTTTTATTTTTTAAAATTTTCATATTTTTTATTTTTTAAAAAATTCAATATTTTAATTTTTTATAATCTTTAACAATATTTCATTTTTTTTATAAATTTTTAGAATTATTTTAAAATTTTCTTTTAATACTAACGTGGTAATTTTTTATTAAAATTTTTCTTTTTTTAATTTTTAGAAATTTATTAAAATTTTGAAATTTTTTGAATTTTTAAATTTACATAATTTTTAAAATTTTTTTATTTTTTTACTTTTTATATATTTTTAAAAATATTTTAAATTTTTAAAAAAATTTAATTATTTATACTTTTTTTGAAATTTTTTTAATACTGATGTAGCAATTGATGATACGATATTGATTAGATTTTTTGATATATGCCAGCATCTCATTGAATATTCATACCATATCAATAAGCTATTTAATAATATTAGTCTTAGATATCAAAGTAGATGATAGAATGAAAGTTGAATATTTAACTGATAATTTTATTTTTTTAGGTACCAAATTGATAGAAAATATTTAGTACAGGAGCCAAATGTGTATTTATCCCTTTTTGGTATTTGTTAGCAAATCAAAAGAAATGGGATAAAATAGATTTGGTAATTTGTATATTTATCATGCCTATTTTGTATCAAATATGTACAAAAACATAAAAATTATCATATCATATATGTCAAATACGAAATTTATTTTTAAATTTTTACCTCATATATAGTTTTTATTAATTTTAAATCATATCACTTTTATGTTTTTTATATATTATTATATGGTATTGAAAATTATCAAATCTAAAATTAAAAAAAAATAAAAATAGGCTAAAAGATATAAAAAACATCTAAACCATAATTAAAAAATCATCTAAACTCTTATTTTTTTTATTGCAGTCAATCAACTCTTCTAATATTTATTTACATCCAATTAAGCCTTGATTTAGATAAAAAAAAAATTAATACCTTTAATTTTTTTACCAATTAAGTTAAAATTTTATGTGATGCCTATAACATAGATGATAGTATATCACATGACACCATTAATATTTATGAAAACTAAATAAAATAAATTTTTTTCTGTTTTTTTCTTTCTACCTCTCTTTAAAATCTTTTAATGGTTTAATTGATTTAATTTTGAAGCTTGATTATATTTTATTCAATTAAAGGTTCATTTCAATTAAAATTAAAGATAAAAAATTCAATTGAATGCAATAAAATTTTAAAAATTTAAATAGTTTTTAATTATAATTTTAAAACATTTTTATCTTTTAACCTAAAAAACATTTGAAAATCCTTTGAACCATAGGCCCTAACCCTTACCTTAACCCTAACCAAAAGGGCTGACGAGGGGAAAGGGGAAGGGCAAAGCTTTGAGGAATCCCAAAGTTCACCAGGCAAAAAGGCCAATCGCAAAATGAAATGATTACTTGAATGAGATGGGTCCCATCTGATAATATTTCCTTTCCAAGTCGCTCAATCTTTTGACTTGGGATCGGGTCCCACCTCGGCCACCATTGTCTTTATGGATTGAATGATAAAAAGGGCACCTCACGTGGAGTCTGAGCCAAAGGGTCTGTCCAACCACAATAAAAAGGAGCCTCAGATTCACAGAAATTAAAAACAAACAAAAATCCATATTTTCCTTTTTTTTTCTCATAATTTTTTTTTTGTTTTTCTTATTTCTTTTCAAAATTTAAGAAAATTTTAATACGCTCCCTCCCTAGACAATAACCAAGCCATTTCTTTTCTAAAAAGAATATTTGCTTTTTAAAGCTCACCAATATAATTCCCAGTCATAATCTTTGTTGCGTAAAGCTTGCCCTCTTCCCTTATCCTCACTTTCTCTGGATCTCTCTCAAAACACATCAATTCTCAAAGGAATTTCGGCAAATCTCTCCCCCCCCCCCCCCCCAAAAAAAAAAAAGAAGGAAAATCAAAAGACTCCCTTCCCTTTAAACATTTAGTCTACAAAAAAGAAAGATATCAAAAGACCCACAAAAAGATTAAATTAAAGACTCCCCATTGATCACCACAAGTAGCTAGGCTCTCTCATAAAGAAAAAGAAAGAAAGCCATTAGAGAAACAACCTACTACTTTCATACTATCATGGAAGGAGGAGGAAGTGATCATCATCAACTCCACCACCTTGACCACCATCATCACCATCAACAACACCACCGCCCTAATTTCCCATTCCAATTACTTGAGAAGAAAGAAGAAGAGAACCAGCTTTGTTCCTCCTCTTCCTCCCCTCCTTTCCTTCCCCTCCCAGCCTCTTCCGCTGCCGATCAACCCAACACAGCTTGTTCCATTTCAAGCCTCCAAATCTCACCGGAACCTTCCAAGAAACCACCCCTTAAACGAACTTCAACCAAAGATCGACACACCAAGGTCGATGGACGGGGTCGTAGAATCCGCATGCCAGCTCTTTGTGCAGCTAGGGTTTTTCAACTCACTCGTGAACTAGGTCACAAATCCGATGGTGAAACAATCGAGTGGCTACTCCAACAAGCTGAACCTGCAGTGATCGCCTCCACGGGCACTGGCACTATCCCAGCAAACTTCACTTCCCTCAACATCTCCCTCCGTAGCTCAGGCTCAAGCATCTCAGTTCCTTCTCAGTTACGATCCTCAGGTTTCAACTCCAACTTATCTATGCAACAACGTAGAAGTTTGTTCCCTGGGATTGGCCTAGAAACAACTCCAACATTCCTTAACTACCAATCTAGTAGTAACTTGAATTCCATGTTCCAAGCGAAGCAAGAGTTGGGTGACAATAGTACTTCGTTGGAATTATCAGAAACTGAAGAAGGTACTGTAGGAAGAAAAAGAAGACTTGAACAAGATTTATCTTCACAACATCAAATGGGAGCTTACTTGTTGCAGTCAAGCACAGGGGCAATTCCAGCAAGTCACGGTCAGATTCCAGCTAATTTTTGGATGGTAACTAATTCTAATAATCAAGTTATGAGTGGTGACCCTATATGGACATTTCCTTCAGTTAATAACAGTGCCTTGTATAGGAGTACTATGTCTAGTGGGTTGCATTTCATGAATTTCCCTGCTCCAATGGCCTTATTGCCAGGCCAACAATTGGGTTCAAGCAGTGTAACTAGTGGGGGTGGTGGTGGTGGTGGTGGTGGTAGTGGTGGAAGTAGTGGCATAAGTGAAGGGCATTTAAATATGTTAACCGGAATGAATCATTATCGGCAAGTCTCCGGCTCAAGCGAATCGGAATCACAAGCGAGCGGGTCACATTCACACCACGGTGGAGGTGGTGGTGGTGGTGGCGATGATCGACATGATGGAACTAGTCATCACTCATAGAGATGATCATCACCATGGATCATCCTTGCTTCTTTTGACCTGTTGTGTAGTTTGATGTGTAACACACGTGAGGTTTGATTGCTATTTTGAAAAAAAAAAAAAAAGAATTGAGTTTTTATTATTCCCCAAAAAAAGGAAGAAATTAATTTTTTGGTGTGAATAATATCATGGGGTTTGAGAGATAAGACACCATTTTTAACATTGGTATTGGCTGCTTTGGTTGAAAACGTCAATTTTTTTGGGGTTTTTTATATTTATTTTATTACACAATATTAATTTCATTTCATCATTTGTTTGTGTAATTTTGTTTTGGAAGAGGTGCTTATATTATTTTTATGCAATTGTCTTGGAGATGAAAAAGAAAATTAACTTATACACATGCCTTAGGGCAAGTCTCCTACCTAACCAGCAATTGAATTTTCTTCCTTCCCTTACTTTTTTTCCCTTTTTTCCACTCCCTTTCTTTTCTCTGTAGTACACTAGTGTAGTATTAGAAAGAGATAGAGATGAAACAGTGTTAAAAATTTTACTGCTCTTTGTAGCAGTAATTAAAATTTTACAACTTTTTTTTTTGTCTTCTTTTCTCTTTTCCTTTCCTTTTCATTCTGATTTTAATATCTGCCATGAAGCTCAAGGTGTTGCTGCATCAATGATTAAGATTGTTCAGAGAAATGGGAGAGAATAGGTAATAGGACAGGGGACCAGATCTTATCAGTTCCAGGTGGTGGGTCCCAGCTGCTACTCATTGCCCAAACCAATGTACGTTGTCACTGACAAACAGGTGGATCATTCCTCTCTCTCTCTCGCTCTCTCTTACAAGAGAGAAATGAAAAGTAAGAGAGTTTTGCTGGCACCATTGAGATCGTTGGTGGGTGTTAATGACCCTACAGAGGGACAAATGAAAAAGGGGTCCGATCATAACTCATTAATCTGGACCGTTGAATTTCTCTTTTTTGGGGTGGATTGTGGGCCATTCCTTTATTGATGGGCAACATTGAATGCTTGGGTCTGATTAGTAGTAGTTGTTTGAAGCTAAAGATGTGGAATCTGGAGTTTTGAGTTTCTTTCCTATGCGAATACTATTCCCTCTTCTCCCCTTCCAAGTTGTTACTGTCGTCAAATTTGTTTCAGACGACCTTTTTTTTTTCTCTTTAGTTGACAAATGGAGCTCTTTTCTTAAGAGTCCATATATTTTTCCCAGGCAAAATTAGGGTTTTTTTTTAGTTATATTTTTCTTTTCACAATAACAAACAACAATCTTTTTGTGTTGCTGTCATGGTGGTGAGACTGAGAGATAACCATAAGTGGAACTTTTCTCTAAAATATCTTCATATATGACCGACACCCTATCATACCAAATATCTCATATTAATCTCATGCTCATTTTCTTTAAAATCATATGAAAAAAAAGGTGTTATGCCCTAGTCATCATGTCATTGGCATCTTAGTTATTACATCATTAGCATCTACATATAATTTTCATGCAGACAATCATTCATTTAATTAACCAAATCCTCATCCATAAAATATATAAAAAAAAATTACAAGAGACATGTAACATTTTTCGACACTTTCTCATTCTCTATGCTCTTCTTTCCCTTGTTTTTAGTTTCCACTGAAGCAAATTGAAGTTTTTTTTTTTTTTTTCTTAAATTATTATATATCAAAAAGAAAAGGATAATAAAGATATATAGAGAAAGGGAGAAAGATGAGAGGGAAGGGGAGCAAAACATATAGGTCCAAACTGGGAATAGTCTGTTATTTCAATGATTGCAAACAATAGAAAGAAAGTCATCAAATAGGCATAAGCATTATATATTGTTTTTTCAATTCAGATCATTTAACACATCTCACATATATATTTAGATACGAAAAAAATAAATAAATTTTATATTTAATTTAATTAATTCATATAATTATTTATAAAAAATAATATTTAATATTTATAATAAATTTTATTTTATCTTTATGATCTTCATAATATGAATTTATTTTAAAAAAATAATGTGTTAAATCTATGGATATGAACCTAACCCTTATGTTATTCCATGCGTTTGTTGAGCGGATTGTACTACTTGTAATTTGTAGAAACTAAATATATATTGATCAAAATCAATTATCAAATGCAATTACATATATACATCATCGAAATTAAAATATGATTTATGAAAGTAGTTGCTTTTCCTTCTATATCAATGCTATTACATTACTACTTCTATTATTACAGTCGACAGCTAATTCGTAAATTCGACAAACAAGAAAACTAGTTAATGAAAATTAAAAACAACATATAGTAGAAGTTACTTGGACTTAATTAAGGTTTTGTTTAGTTGGTAATTTTGTCTTTTGCTTTTTGGAAAAAAATAATAAATGATAAATGATAAAATTATCAACCAAAATGTAATTTAAGGTTTTAATTGGATGGGTAGTGTAATGAACTCCAATAAAATTAAAAATTGTGATAGAGGTGAGATTAATTATTATAAATGTGAAATTAAAATCAATGATGGAATATGTGTTTGAATACAATAACAGTGATGATCATAAGATGAATTGTAATGAGAAAAAAATGATCATCAACGGTATTATATTAAAATTTGTATATAATAAAAATTTTAAATTATTTAACATTTATAATATTAATAAATTATTAAAAACTATTAAATTATTTTTATGGCAAATATTAATTTTATTAAAAAATAATAATATTTTTATTATATTAAATTTAAAAAATTATTTAAAATTATTTAAATAAAAAATTATAAAAATATTTTTATATTTATAATAAAAACTTAAGGGTAAAAAAAATAGTTGAATGGGTGGTGTTTCACTGGACAAAAATAACAGTGACCAACCAGTATGTTTTTTGTGGCACAATTGAATCCAAAGGAAACAAAAATGACTGTACAGTGCGAATTGGACAACTCCCCATTGTAATGGCACCACCACTTGGGGGTGCTTTGAAATCCAAAGGCAACCTAAAATAGTTTTATATAAAACATCTTTCTAAATCTTTGGTTTAGACTTTTAAAAATATATAAAAAAAAAAAAAACTTTGACTCAAAGTTATTTTTTTAATAGAAAACTTAAAATTATTAAATATTAGTATATTGTTAATTTGTTTTATATTATTATTTTAATTAATTTAATATATTACGATTTATGCTTTAAAATTTAAGGTTTAACAGTCAATCTTTCAAATTATTTGGGTTTAAATTATATCGGAGTATAATCATTTCGACCTTTAGTAGATTAGTCATTTTAGGGTTTAAATCAATTTAAGTTTGAATTATTGAGCTTTTTGGTCAAATTAAATTTGATTGAATTTGAATTCAAAAAAATCGAATTAATTTTTCAAGTTCAAGTCAATTTCACAGTTCTAAGTCAAGATAATATATATATATATATCTAAATGGAGCATGCCTGCATGGTAATAAAATGGGCAAAGGGAAGCATTTAAAATGTTGATTCCAATTTAATACAAGCACATGTTGGGGCATTTATTGACCAATGGATGGAAGTTTGTGCAGGGAAATGGTGTCAAAAATTAAACCATCATCGAGTAATGGAAGCGGTCCGGTTCATACCCAATTTCAGCACATGGACTTGAACCCCATTGATACAATCACATGAAAAACAAGGCCCCCCGCCCCATCCAAAATTGCATGATTAGACCACTCAACTCGGTGGTTGCACAAACAAGTCGGTAAGGGGTTTCGGCTTTTGGGGATTGCAATTAGTTGTCAATTGGTGTTGCTTAGTGGCTGATAACAACAGCAGATTCGTTTAATTTTGGCCCGGGAAATCCCTTAATGCCAGTTTTTGAATGCCTTGTTTGGGCCCAGAATATCTCTTAATCCTTATTCCATGATTTGATGATGATGCTCATCCTTCTGCAGACAACATTGCTTGCTCCACTGCTCAGAGTTGTACCTGCTGCAGGTTGGTAGTTGGCAAAAAGAGGTAAGTTTTATCAAGACCCACCAACAAAATTAATCAACCCAATCCAACTTAGTTGTTATTTGATTTTGGGATTTCTTCCCCCTCAGCTTTTATGTTATCAAACATGATAAATATGACCAACAAGCGATCGATTCAATTAGTTAAAGTTTATTTTTTTTTTATGAAAAAGTTTCGAGTTTGAATTTTGTAAATAATCATTTGTTGAAATCATTTCGAATACACATATTATCATGATTTGAGAGATTAAATAATTTATCTATCCTCGAATTTCATTTTTTGTCAAAAAAATGATAGTTTTGTATTTATATAGTGTAATATATTAATAACTTATATTTATATAACATTTTATATAAAAATTATATATTATAATTTTTGTTGATATAAAAAATATAAAGTATATCTTTTAAATTTTATTAAATTTATATATAATTTTTTAAAAAATTTTAATTTATATTATCTTTATATATTTTTATAATATTTTTATATCATATCATCATATCAAATTTTAAATTATAAATTTTATACGTTATTTACAATTTTTTTTCAGTAAATTAAAAAGGATTTATAGGACATAAATTTGAACAGAAAGAAAAAAATATAATTCAACCTGACTGCATTCAAAACTCAAGCAAGAGCTAGCATTCATCTGCTGTTTTGTTGTCTGACAATAAAATAAATGGCCTTGACAGTGCTCTCATGGTAGGGACATTGTTTTTAGCTCCTACATTTGGCACTTAATTAGAACTAAAAAAAATGGTTGATAAACTGTTTCATTAAAGCCATTTGTTCATTGGTACATCTTTTTAAGTAATCAAAAATATGAAAAACATGAGAATATAATTTTTAATCCATCAATTTATACTTCCCTATTATTTGATTAAAAATTAGAAAAAAATCAAAAGGGAAAATTAAGGATTGAATATTATCAATTTAAAAAAAAAAAGTTTAGATAAGTGAAAATTTTTACATTTCAGTATCAGAGTATACCAAAAGTCTCAATGCTAACAGTGAAAATGGAACTTAAATATTACAGGTATTCTTTTTTTTTTTTTTTTATTACATTAGAAAAGTAAAGCTTTAGTACAAGTAAAAGTATAAATGATATATTAGTACTCGTAAGTTACTCGGGTTCGATTCGAATAAAACTCGAATTCGATTTGATTATTATCGAGTCGAACTCAAGCTCGAATAACTCGACTCATCGCTCAAGCCGAGTTCGAATATTTTTGTACTCAGCTCGAGTAGCTCGTAAGCCTAATCGAGCTTTTATATTTAAATTTTTTTTATTATTTTAATTAATAAAATATCTCGAATTCGAACTCGAACTTGAGCATAAATAATCGAGCTCTTATTGAGTATAAGAATCAAACTTATTTTTACATATTTTCAAGCTTAATCGAGAGAGTTCGAGTAGCTCGAATTCGATTATGAATCGATGTCGAATTAAAAAAATGAAACTCGATCGAGTTTGAGTCGAGTATCGAACTGCGAGTTGAAAGTCGAGCTCAAACTTGAGTTTCTCATTGTATCGACTCGACTCGTTTACACCTTTAAGTACAAGTAAGAGGGAGGAGGAAGTTTGGTTTGAAATCAGATCTTTAATGCTCCATCAAGCTCCTTTAACAACTATACTAAAAGTTTAGGGATAATATTACAGGTATTTGATATTTACTAACTCAATCAATTTCATAATTTAAAGGAAAAATTAATTTAAAATCATTAAAGAAAAAGTTAAATTCCAAAAAAAAATTTTAAGATATTTATGATTGTATTAAAAAATGTTTTAATAAACCAATTAATCCAAGAAAAAAAGAGCTACATGTTCTTGTTAATTTTATGAATTGTTACCTTGAAATTTTGAGTGTATTTTCTCCAATCAATTTCCTATACAAAAAGGAACAACATTTCACGTGATATAAAGTAGCAATGAAAAGAGGAAGGTGGCAAAAAGTGAAGTCTGGTTAATCAAGTTTGCATGCGTAGTATCTGTTTGCTGCCTGTTTGTTACCAACCAAACATTTAATCATAAATCTATCAAGATTGAAAAGACCCATTAATAAATTTATAGTAATTTTGTCTATAGTCACGTAAAAAAATTTTTAATTTTAGTGATAAGATTTAAATTTTAATAATATTAATTAAAATATATATTAGAAATAATTACTCGTTACAGTGAGATGAACTATTTTTCTGTTAAAATTTATTATTATTATTTATTATTTTAAATATATTTATAATTATTTTAATATGTAATTTAATAAGAATATTTTAATAATTTTTAAAAAAGTCACATGCTAACTTTTTATAAAAATTATAATGGCATTTTTGTAATTATAATATGAGATATTATAGTAATTTAAGTCAATATGATAGAAGGGATATTTTTATAATTATAGTAAAAAAGATATTATAACCATTTTGATAAATTATGGTAAAAGAGGCATTTTCATAATTATGATAGTAAAAGCATCATAATAAGTTTGTCAAATTATGGTAAGAGGAGCATCATTGTAATTTTAATTGATTTATAGTAAAAGAAGCATTTCTGTAATTATAATAAAAATATATTATAATCATTTAGGATACGTGTCAATTTTTAATAAAAAACCACAAGGACATTTTAATAATCTCAGTGAAATTAATAATTTAATATATAGTTAATTTTATATTATGTTAAAATTTAATATATATATATATATAATTTAATAAGAATATTATAGTAAGTTTTAAATAAAATTACACATGTTAAATTTTTATGAAACGATGGTAAAGATATTTTAATAATTTAATATGTGATTAGTTTTATATTATTATGTTAAAATTTAGGCTAATGGTCAAAAATGCCCTTGAATCATAATTAAAAATCATTTAAACCCTTAATATTTTATTATAATTAATCAAATTTTTATCTTTTATTTTGACTCAGTTGAACTTTTAATTGGATGAAATTTAGTCATATAGCAAAATTAAATCAATTAATCCCCAAACTACAATAAGTTAAATCTTTAGAGGGATCTCAAGAGAAAGGAAAAAGAAAATAGAGAAGACAAATAAAAAGAAAAAAAGAAAACTTTATTTTATTTAATATTTACATATATTAGTTATGTCATATGATAAATTTTCATCTATTTTATTAATATTACATGAAATTTTATCTTAGTTAATAAAAAAATTAACGATATTAATTTTTTTACTCAAATGAAGATTTAATTGATTGTAAATAACTATTATAAAGGTTGATTAATTACAATTAAAAATAAGGATTTAAATTATTTTTGAATTATAATTCAGTGGTTTTTTATATCCTTTAGCCTAATATTTAACGCGTAAGTTAAAAGGGATTATTAGAAATTCAGTGGTCGCAGCCCAAGTGTAAGAATACCTTGACATTCGATTCTATGTTTGGGGCTTTGGGCCAACTTAAAATTCAAAGAATTTAGGGCAATTTTTTAACTTAAAATAACGATTTAAGAATTATTTAATTAATTTTTAATTTATTAATCATATTTAAATTTTCTTATAAAATCATTTGATGTGTATTTGATAATAATTAACAATAACATTATGGACACTTAAAAATTAAAAAAAATATTGGAACCATTTAAATTTTCCTCTAAAATTTTTTTATAGCTAAAATGAATAAAATTGTCGATAATTTTATATATTATAAATAAATATTTCAGAAAAAAAAATTTTGAATTCACTGCTATTAATCTGACTTGTTTGGTTTTTTTTATATATATAAATATAATTCTATTATTTACAGTTTAGAAAATAAAAAAATAAATCTAAAATTTTTTATAGAAAAAACACGTATTAAGGGTTAAATCGAACCTCCCATTTATTTAAAAAAAAAAAAAAAAACTAGAGTGAAATGAACAGTTGACTAGTCCCGGTGTCCAGGACAAAAGAAGGAACTGAAATGGTAGCCTGTAGGCAAGTTAAGGCCCAAAAACGTCCATGTGAAAGACCTGGCCATGTTCTGCTGTGTTGAATATTTTTCGATATTTTTTCCAGTTTCTACTCCGTAGAGAATTAGAAATAGTTAAATACTATACCATTTTCTGATCCTTTTCTTCGGGAATGGCATAATTCATTCATTGGGTGTTAATTTAAGAAAGCAAAAAAAAAAAAAAAAACAAAGAAATGGCAATGGGTAGAGTTAGAAATTGGTGGAGCCATTCAAAAACTGTTGCTTTAATCTTGTTCTTTCTTGCTTTGTTTTACTCAATGGCCCTCCAGAATTCCAGCTCCTCTTTTTCTCCTTCTTCTAGTAATCTCTGCCACTTCTTCCCCTGTGAAGTTTTTAATTTCTCATTCTATATTCATTCCATGATTTCTTAGTAATTAAAAGTGAAAAGAATGAAGTTTGATGAAAGAAAAAAAAATGGTAATAGTATCATGGTTTCTAAATTTTTAGTAAAATTTTATTTAATTTTAAAATTTTAAATATTTTAATTATCTAAAATTATTTTATTTATTATTTATTTATCAATATAATATGAATTAAAATTAATTAAATATAAATTATTTTGATATTTTTATGTAGTTCCACTCCTAGGAAGAGGAAGACTCTTCCGAAGTTCGACGAAGTGGTCCAAGAACCAAAGATTTTACCATACAACTTACAAGTATTTAAATTTCGTATGGCAAAAACTTATGAAAAAAATAAAACACCTTCACTTTTGGAGCTGGTGGAGGGCACACGCCTCTGCACGAATCTATCCAATGCTAAAAGAGCCGTATTCTTTCTGTTTCAATTGAGCCGTCAGCCAGGTACGCCATACTATGCTATCTTATGCCCGCCACGCGCTTCTCCCTTTTTTTTTTTTTAAAAACGTGCTTCTACTTTTCCAAACTTAGAAACCGTTAACTTTACTTTTATAAAAATAATGATAGTATATTTGGGATTTTATCAAAATACTTTTTTTTTTTTACTTTAATCTTTAATATTTTAAAGTTTGAGATGGAATTTTGAGTTAATTATCTGTTATCATCCTATGAAAATTTAACAAATTAAGTGATGAAAAATATTTAAAATAAAATAAATGTTTTAATTAATGTATTTGCCTATAATTAAAATGAACTAAAGATTATCTATTCATTTTTTGCAAACTTTAAATCTTACAATTCATAAATAATTTATTTCATTTAAAAAAATAAAAAATATAAAACAAATACATGAGTAAAAATTTTAAATATAATATTTTTTAATACGAACAATATATGTTTTCATTTTTTATTTAACTTTATTATCTTTCTTAAATATTATTAATGTCATAATTTTTCGTATGGAAATAATACATTCAAGATTTTATATTTAAAATACTTCTTACAAGAACAAAAATTAATATTTGATTCAATGATTGAAATATATTTTTTTATTTAAAAAATTCAATTTTTTTTCATAATAAAAATTAAATATAACAATTATAGACAATACTTTAAATTTTTTTTGTACTTTTAATAATGAAAAGAATTTTACTGAAATGAATTTTGTCTTAATATGTGACGATCTAGTAGTAATTATTTTGTAAAACAAACCCTCTCTTTATGAAAAATTATTTCATATGTCTATTTTACCTAAAAATAATAATAAATTCATGGTTTATTAATTTAAGAAAATTGTTATGTGCTTATGATGAAATTATTATTATAAAATTTATAATTAACTAGATATAAAGGGTTTATGTAATAATTTTTATGTCACAGTGTTATCCTTTTAACAAATTAATTAAATATATACACGTAAAAGTAATATTAAATTACATTTATTCTTTTTGTGTTTTTTAAATCTCGTAGTAATGAAGGCACGTGTTAAAGTCCACGTGTAATGGTTCAATTAACCATTTGTCAGTTGCTAGCCACGCGCCTCCTTGTGTTCTCTCTACTTTTGCCACAAATCCTCTGTCCCGTAGGACACTGCTGAAGCCTCAAATTTCCTCGTTGTAAAATCATCATCCTTTAACACAGGCCTGTGTTCTTCAAAGGTTGTTTCACAATCCTTGTCTTCTCACTTATGTCTTTTTTGGATCTCTAACAACTTGATCTTCAAGTGGGTTTTGGTGGGTCTTTCTTGTTTTTGTTGGCCTAGGTTGGTCTTGATCTGGGGTCTTTCTTTTTTTTATTGATTTATTGAGATGGATGATTTTAGGATTTTAGATTTTCCCTTTTTGATTGATAAGAAAATGGTGAGCTTGCCTTAAAATTATATATTTGCTTGATCATAATTTTTCAGTAAATTAGATGGAACTTTGAGATTTTTTTGTGGGTTTAAATCAACTTGAGTATAGATGAAACAAAGTTTAATTTGGGCTGCAAATGAAGTGTGATTTAAGCGGTAGTTGTTATTTTCTGGGAAACACTCTTGGCAAAAGAGAAAAGGCAAAAAGAAAAAAAAAATAAAAAAGGTCTTCAATTCCTGTTAAAAGGTCATTCTTTGATTTGACTAGCAATCAAAGTCAACTTCCGTGGTTGCGAAGTAATACCCAATTTCTGTAGTGCAATTGTTTTTCCCTTTCCAATTGGTTTCTGCTTTGTTGATTTTCTTTTATAAAACATCGATGAAGGGATAATGAACTTTTGAGATTTTAAATTGTTATTATGTTGGTGTTTTAAGGGAATTCTGGTGCTATTCAAATTTATTGATTTAACATGGGTTCTGAGACTCCTCCTTTAGTTGAGAATACAAATGCAGCAGTGGAGACAACTGTCGTCAGGTTAGTCACTGAAGATCTTAGGAGCTTTATTTACCTCTTGTCTGTAATTGCTGGTTTGTGTCTAAATTCATGGCTTAAAACCATATCTTTCAATGTTGTTAGCCCCAACTCATAATGATCACATGGTTAGTCAAATATGGAAGGGGAGAAAAGATAAATAACTGATTGTAGTTTGAAGCTTCAAAATTTTGTAGCAAAGTTATCAATCTTTATTTATGCATTTTAGTTTCTAACTTTTTGATGTTTTTTAGCTGTACAACTTGTTGCTTGTCTATGCGCCACTGGTTGATGTCTGCATAACAGCATATTTAACTTGGAATGATATTGGATTTTTTTTTATTTTCATAGTGTATAACTTATGGTTCACATATCCGTTTAAGCGTTTCCAGAGGCATCTGGTTCTGGCTGCAATGAAAATATGCATACTGAGTGCCTAAATTGTCGAAGAAAGCAGCAAATTTTGCTTGTCTGAAAACTATTTTTGATGCAGGTCCTGTGCTCCTAAGACCAAGGGAAAGGTTCCCAAAAGAATTCACAAGGCTGAGAGGGAGAAGCTCAAGCGTGAGCATTTGAATGAGCTCTTCCTTGACCTGGCAAATGCTCTTGGTAATTTAATTTAAGCTCTTATTAAGTTCCTGTTCTATCTTATTCTTCTTTAAGACTAGAACTTTGTTTCAGTCCAGTCATAGAAGTGATGCTTATTAATGATTGGCATAGGTTTTGATTTGTACGATCCGTCCTTTTTGAGTTGTTAATAGATCATTCTTTGTCTAACTTGGAGAAATTTCTTGCGAAGATCCAAATCAGCAGAACAATGGGAAGGCCTCTATTCTATGTGAAGCTACTCGGCTATTAAAGGACTTGGTTGGTCAAATTGAGTCCCTCAAAAAGGAGAATGCTTCTTTGTTATCGGAATCTCACTATGTAAGACCCCTAAACTTGTCTTTGATAATTTCTTTGAATGTAGAAAAATGGTTCCCCATTTTATTGATGCTTGCTTTTATTCAACCACTCATCCGAAATGTGGACAGATGGACGCTGAGAAGAATGAGCTGAAGGAGGAGAACATGGCCCTGGAAACTCAAATTCAGAAGCTGCAAAGTGAGATAGGGACAAGGGTGGCTCAATCCCAACCTGACCTGAATGAGCCTCCTCCTGACTTTCAGCAAACAGAATTGTCATCACATTTTCATGGAGATCATCCTGGTTTGCCTGCTGTTGAACCTGCTTTGCAACAAGCATCTGCTCTCATTGTTGTTCCTATTCGTGCCGACATCCAGTCTTATCCTGTGCCTGATTCCCCACAACCAGCGGCTATGGCTAACTCCATTGTTAGCAAACCACATGCTCGGTATCCCACTCCGGCAGATTCATGGCCTTCTCAACTTCTTGGGAAGCAGTCAGCAATCAGTAATGAGTTTCAACTTAATGATATTTGCAGAACAGGGGATAGAAGTCCAACTAACTTGTAAATGCTACTTCTGCAAAATTCCTAACCTTTGCTTTTGGTCATTCAACTCCATAAAACAGAGGTAATTATTGAAGGCATTGAAGTAACTGAACAACAGAGTTGTTTGAGAACAGTTTGACAAATGTTGATGTGAATGTAAGAGGAATTAATTTGCCAGCAAAATCCAGTTACCACCACCTTTGGTGTGGCAAAAGTCCATTTAGTCAAAAATCCAGTTACCCGTTGAGTTGTGGTCGCAACAACTCACACTTTTCGAAAGTTCAACGCGTGACCATGTGGGGCAAAAGATTAAAAAGACTCGCATTTCTGGTCTGGCAGAGGCTCACTGAATTTAAGGGCAATTCGCTTTGTTTTTTTTTGTTTAAAGAACTTGCTAGACAAAGCAAGTGGCAATTCTGTGATTCTAAGTAGTATCATAATTTTATCTATATTCAATAAAAAATTTGATGTTTTACTTGAATGAGTATTACATTATTAATATGGGAATAGAAATACTTATTATTTTAAATTTTTATTGAGTACGGAGACAGATAATATAACAAACATTTTATACTCATAATTTATATATATATATATTATACATATTTAATAAATAGATTTTAAATAATATAAATTATTATTTTAGATTAATTAAAATTAATATATTTTATTAAATATATATAATATATTTATAAAAAATTATTTAAATATACAAGATAAAAAAAGTAAAAAAATAAAATTTGGTTTTATTTTCTAAAAAAAGCTATAGGTATGAAGATTATCCATTGAAATGTCAATTTTACTCATATTCAATGAAAAATCAGACTTTTTACTTTAACGGGGATAGAAATAGATTTTACATTATGGGTATAGGATTGGGATGCGTATAATTTTAAATTTTAATTGAGTATGAGAATGGAGATAAGTAATATAGCACATGCTTCGTACTTGTACCTGCATCCATACCTTATATATATATATTTGGTAAATATATTTTTATTAAGTAATATAAATTATTATTTTAGATTAATTAAAATTATTATAAAATGAGTATAATATAAAAATCCGAAGATAGAGATAGAGAATGCTCTATCATTCTCATACCCTACTTATTGACATCCCTAATTATTCATACCCATTAAATATGTGTAGAAATGAAAATATAGATAGATTTGAAATATGCATTAGATATGAGTATGAGGATGAGTATAATATAAAAATTCAAAAATAAGAATGAAGAATACTTTATTCTCCTCGTACCCTATCAATTGACATCCCTAATTATAATAAAAGAAATCTCTTCATTCTGTTTTTTTATAGAGTGATTTATCTAATAATTTATATGTTTATATATATTTATTTTATATTTAATATATATAAAATATAAAAATTATTATACAATTTATATTGACATTACAAATATAAAACACACATTTACTTTTTTTAAATTAATATATAATTTTTATTAAAATTTTAAATCATACCATTTTATTTTTTTAAAATCATATCATATCTTATTTGAAATTATCAAATCTATTTAGTTGCATCAAATGGATCCCATTTCCCCCAATAAGGAAAATAAAAAACTTGGCAAATTGTTCAAATGCTATAAATACATATAATTTTTTAATCAAAATTTAATTTTAAAAATTTTTTATATTTTCATTTTTATAATTTTAATTTTTTATGAATTCAATATTATTTTAACTTTTAATTTCTTTCAATGATCTTTTTATTTCTTGTATTAAATTAATGTTTGATTTTAAATTAACAATACAATAACAAAAAATGAAATAAAATATTAAAAATAATTCTTCTCAATTTACAAATAAAAATTTTACTTTCTAATTGGATTTGGATTTTAAATTTGATTAATATGTTGCAGTGAATGAAAGCCCAATAATTGGATCTACAGCCCAACTCTTTCGTTCTCTTGATTTTTTTGCTCGTTTCTTCGTTAAAGTTGCGTAGGTTTTGGTTTTATTATTTTTTTAATACTATGTTGTTCTATTATAATGAAGAAAAACAAAGGCCTAAAAATTTGTTCATTTCCTTACTTTTCTTCCTTTCTCTAAACAACTCCCAACATCTACATCGTATGACGGATCTTAATATTTTAGCATTGACAGTCATTTCCTCCTTGTTTCTTGTTTTTACTTGCTTTGTCCCTTTTTTTTTTTTTTTTTTTCCATTTCTCTCTTTTTTTTATTGTTTCTCTCTCTTTGAAGTAGGTATCAAAGAAAACTCTGAAAAATTTAATTATGTTAATAAACTAATGAAACAAATCATAATATAATTAAATATCGATTTGTAAATTTCATGAGATATCTTTAATTTAATGAAATTTACCTTTCTTTTAAAAATTGTGTGTTTAAAAATATTTAAAAGCATAACGTTGATCGAGCAGTTAAACGATGAGTTAGACGAGATTAGAAAACAAAAAAAACCTGAAAAACTTAGTTTAAAATTCCTAATTTAAAAGTTAGGAACATCATTAACGAATAATTAATTCAAATGATTAAAATTATTTTTTTTAATAAAAAAATTTTAAATTTAAATTTTATCGATGATCATTTATTAAATTATCAATACGATTTATAATTAATTCTTTTAAATTATCACGATATATTTTATTTTGATTTAAAAAATTAAATAATTTTGAGAGGCATAAAAAAAAAAGTTAGGAACATCGTCAGCCGTCCGTTTTTTTCACTGTTAACTATCCTCCGTTAGATGACACCGCCAATTAACCGGAAGCAGAGAATAAATTATTATATTCAACTAGCTTTCAGCGTCAACAGCTTTCTTACGCAAAAACGCAACTAAACAGTCTTGTCACTTGAAAAAGAAACAGACCAACAAGAACATAAACAAAGCCAAACCCTACCCTTTGTTTAGTTTTGAGATGAGAGGTTTCAGAAAGAAACAGGAAAGAAACTAAAAAAGGGCATAGGACATCAGAGATGGGATCTGGGGCTGGAAGTTTCCTTAAGGTTCTTCTTAAGAACTTTGATGTTCTTGCTGGGTAATTAACCTTTCCTCTTCTTCTTCTTCTTCTTCAGACACATCCAAGTTTTTATCTTTTATTTCTTACTTTTTAAAATATTTATTTGCTAATTTGATTTGGTTGATTTTGCAGGCCGGTTATTAGTCTCCTGTATCCTCTGTAAGTGTTTTTCAATTTTTTTGGGTTTAATTTGCTCTTTTTTTTAGATGATGTAGTTCAGAAGTTGTCAGAATTTGAGACTGGATTGATTTAACTGTTGTGTGGTGTTGAATTCTTAAATAGCTATGCCTCAGTTAGGGCAATCGAGTCTGAGTCGCGTGCCGATGACAGACAATGGCTTACATATTGGGTTCTGTATTCCATGATAACATTGCTGGAGCTCACCTTTGCCAAAGTAATTGAATGGTAAATTTATTTGCACTTTAATGATCCAGTTTGTATTGCTGTACGATGGAAAATATGTGGCTTTGGTTTTGCTTGGTAGGGAGGAAGGACAGGGTAAGAGTGAAAAACTTGATAATCTAACGGTTAAGATTCATAATCCCTTTTCTACTTTGTAACATAACCATTAGATTAATAAATTTCCATCCTTAGGATGTGTAACACAAGCTTGGATGCTTCATTTGATTAAAAAATTATTGTTCTAGCTGGCCAACACAAGAAAAATTGGTTATTGAACTTATACAATTGGGAGTTTAGGTGACCAAACATGTTGTACTCTTGAAATTCTTCTCACCCACTGGAAGAGGGGCTTATCGTTTAATGTAGCTGTTAATGCTTAGCAAGGTTGCGACTGTGTCTTTGTAGTAACAAACTGTTTCCGTATTAAAAGCGGAAACTTTTGTCAAATTAAATCAAACTTGGTTATTTTGAAGTTTCACCAAGCTGTCAAATAATTCTCTTTATTTCTTTTCATGGTTTACTTTTATTGCTTTGACGAAGGGACCTCTAATTTATAGGTAAATACAATAGTCGCGACTTGCGTGCTTTAATCGTGTCCAGGGCTCTAAAAAGCATGGAACCTAACCATCTTACAAAGAAACTTGTATATTAAAGCCTTCTTATGATTAGAAACTGTTATCTTCTGCTGAAACTTTTTAAAACTCTATGGCAGGATTCCTATCTGGTCCTATGCAAAGCTGATTTTCACCTGCTGGCTGGTTTTCCCATACTTCAGTGGTGCTGCCTATGTTTATGAGCATTATTTGAGACCTTTCTTTATCAACTCACGAAAGCCAGATGATATTTTAACTGCTGCGGAGAGATACATCGAAGAGAACGGAACTGAAGCATTTGAGAAGCTCATTCATAGGGTATGGCATCAACCATGATTGCTTCTCTTTCATTTACTTGCTTTTGAGAATTGTCATGTTCACACAAGGAAGTTTGATATTATAGTATCCTTACTGAAAGTGATAAGGAAGCAGGCAATTAACTAACATTCCTCCCTTTGTTTTGCAGGTAGATAAGCCCAGGAGTAGGGGTTATGTATATGATGATGAAGACTACAGATATTAATCCTTATAACTGTGTTGCTCTAGTAATTATCTTAGGTTTCTTCTTCTTCCTTGCACAAAAAAATCTTTTTGGTACCTTTCAAATAATGATCCAGAATTTAAATCTTAATCACTGAAATTAAGAATTTAACATTTTAGCAACAGACCAGCTTGTTGGCTTGTTAAAAGTTTCTTGCTGTATAATACAAGTTCCTAAATATTTCTCATGTTTGGTTGTTGGCTAATTATCTTATTTATCGTTAGATAATTTTAAAAATTTTTTTCATGATAGAGGTTGTTAGGATTGAATTTAGTCATTGAGATTTAATATTTTATTAATAGATCACACGTAAATGTATACTATATTAAAAGGAAATGACTTGGATCTATTTGTGAAATTTTAAAAATTGTTATGAGTTAGAAGAAAATTTTTAATTAGAAAAATGAAAGGCAAAGGCTTCTATATCATTTTGGTTGAACAATACAAGAAAGCAGAAAGGAAACCATCCATTGCCGGTTCATTAGTCGTGGCTAAAAAGAATTAAAATCCTTTTATTTATTTATTTATTTATATATGTACTTAATAAAAAATACAAAAAGCAGTTAAACAGTTAAACTCGGTGGAGGAAAGAAAAATAAAATACAGATAAAAGACAGAGAGAAGCTCGCGCTAATTCCCTTCCCTTCAGGTCTCTTATATTTCATTTATATTTATATTTTTTAATTAGCAAATATTAAAAAAAAATCGAATCTGCTAATACCGTTTGATTCTTGGAAAAAAAAAACCGTTTGATTCGTTTGTGATCCTTGGTTTTTAAGTTTAAAAATAAATACGACCCTGATTCGTCAAAAAATTGGCCTTCTAATTGCCAATTTGTCAACGTTAATTCTTATTCAGGTAACTATTTTTCGATTGTATGCTCGATTTTATTAAGGCTTAATCAACGGTGAAAATGATCGAATAGTTTTTTGCTAACTGAGAGAGGTATTGAATGAAAAAGACAACAGATGTGAAGCAAATTTTGATGCTTAATTTCATATGATGCAAAATTTTGAAGGAAAATTCAATTTTTAGGGTTGAATTTGCATCATATTTTATTTGTTTCTTTTGATATAATTGCTTCAAATGCAGGTGATATGATTTAGAATTTCGAAGGGGGGGTGGTGATTTTACAATTTATTGCTATGTTTTTGGAGAATGTTAGTCTCTAACTGATAGCATTTTGAGATAGAACATTCTCATGAGGATACTGTCATTTGAGGCTTTCTCATAATGGGATAGTGTGAACTTCATTCTGGTATTAGACTCAAGGAAAGGTTTTGTATGGGGAGGATACGAGGATTCTTCTGTTATTCTCTAGAAGTTTGCTGTTGTTCTATGCAAGGGTTGGACTTGATATCGCCAGGTGAATGGCTGACTTCCAAAGGACTCGTCTTTCTGATATGGATTACGAGCAGGCATTCCATTTTTGTTTTTGTTTTTACTATACTTGACTGTTATTCTGGTTTTTTGTAAATGAATCTGTTAATGTCACAACTTGTCAAGGAACTTTGCTAGCTGTGACTGTTGCAAGGAAATTGATTTAGATCGTTTCAGCCGCATGAGATCTACAACATTGACAACATTCCCTTTTAATGTAGATTGTAGAATATTTTCTCTGCCAAGAATGAGGTTAGAGAAGTTATAGACTGAGTTAGAAGTCTTTATACGACCTTCATTACATGTCATTGTCTTCTTTTCTTTTGCTACGTTGTATTCTCTATTCAGTTTGATAAAAATTGCACCGTTATTCGTATATAAAAGGGTTCTTCCATCCTCTCAGGAGTCTGCTCCTTTATTCAGTACTCTTTTTCATTTTTTAAGATTTCCTTTTGAGAAGGTAATTTGGTATTGCAAATGAGTCCATATGTTTTAGGCCTTTCATTTTCCTCAAATATAATTAGTATTTGTAATACTTTTGCCTTATTTTTGCGGGCCATTACAACCCTTAAGAAAGGGATGCATCTGCTGAAGTATGGGCGTTGGGGAAAGCCCAAATTTTGTCCATTCCAGCTTTCAACCGTATGTTGCATTCAATCTCCACAGTATAAATTATTAGTACTTTGCTTAAAGTTTTCCTCACTGAAATTACATTGGATATCATGTTACCCTGGTCCCCGAGAACTCTTAGGTATGCCCTTTCTGGAAATTCTACTTTTTTTTTCTACTTAAAATAGGAGTGTAATACATATAAACAATGAATTAGCGATCATCAAGCAGTAAAAGGATTGACATCTAAATTGATGTAGCCTGCTTTGAAATGCTTCTATCAAAGGCTTTTATCAGTGGATTGTGATCAGTTCATCTCCAAACCCAAAAATTACACTCTTATGATTTTCTTAGTTTGCTTTAAGAATTAAGCACTTTTCTAAATGAAATGTCAATAACAGATTTTGGCCTTATCAAGTTGGAGTGTCCAATCACCGATGAGATTTGACAAGGGGTGTTTTCTTAAGTTCAAAGGCTAGCAGAGAGCCTAGCTTTATGCCATTATGTGCAATTCGCTTGCTTTCTAGTTGGGATGGCTTCTGCTCTAGATAATGTTAAACTGCACTCTACTAGGCGTAATTGGAGCCAGAGAAGTTTTAAGATTATCAAATTTAAAATATGAGTTAAGCCAGATTTTTAGAAGGTCCTTAAAAGAATATGTAGAAGAATAAGATTATTTTGAAGAATAATTGATAGCAGTTTTATTTGTCTGCCTGTGAGGTTTTCCACCGCTATGTCTTTCTGTAAAGCATTTATTGCTATGAAAATTGAACAAGCTGTGCAAAATTCAAAGAACCTTGTGTACAAAATTACAAATTATTATGCACAATTCAGTTTGGGGAAATTACAGTGATTTAAGATAATTTTTATCTACATGCCAGGATGAGAAATCACTGATTTGGTACTCTGACAAAGAAGAGAAAAACTCAAACTAAGCCACGTTTCAAGGATTATACCTGGACAGCGTACTGTAAGTTTGTATATCTGTTAATGCCTTCTGCTATTGATCTGTACTTTTTTGGTGCTCAAATTAGCACAACATTAGCCTAATCTTAACCTTGTTAATATATATTCACATTACTAAACAAAAAGGAATTTTGATATATTCTTAATACCAAACCAATATTTATGGACAAAAAAATTTGACAATTGAAGCTCTACATTTTCTATGAAAGAATATCTTGTAATGCCTTCTTTTGTTGATCTGTAATTTTATGTGCTCACTTTTAGAACGTATAGAACTAATTTTAACAGGGTTAATATGTACCAAAAAGAAATGTGTCGATATTTTCTTAATACGAAACCTTTTGTGGACAAAACTAAGTGTGACGATTGAAGCTACTGACTATTTAGGAATTCCTAACCAATCCTATATTATATATGAATTGTTTCAATATCAGAAAAATCTGAACCATTTTCCTTATCTTCTTGAAACGCATTTGTCAAGACTAGAGCAGTCTCAACAGGAGGCAAAAGTAACAAAAATTTTCTTGCATGGTTTTGCAGGCATCACTCCAGCGTTTCCCTCAGCCTGATAAAGAACATCAGTCATTTTCTCTTATTTACAGCAATGGATCCTTGGATTTGGTTTGTATCCTCTCTTGCTTTTGATCTGTCAATATCCTCCTTTTAAATTACATTGACCATGATTGTATTGTTTGTCAAATTTCAGTTTCAATTGAACTGTAATGTTGAATACATGCATAGCAAAAGTGCATGCCCATTCCATTCAACACATAAAAGGTTATTATTTTAGTCCTGGATTAATATTAAACTTGTTTTTAACCTATGAATGTTAAGACTCTATCTTGGTTCTGAATTTTTCTGTCTTCCTGTTATTATTCTTCTTGTTGTTTTTTAGTTTTTGAAATCTGCAGTTTCAGTCCTGAACAGTTTAATCTCATTAGTGGTGTTGAAGCAAGAGTTCTTTATGTGTGTAACTGTGTATAAAATTTTATCATTTTGTATTGTGTTTCTTAGTCCTCTTTCCCCAAGCAATGATCAGGATTGTGGAGAAAAGTAGAATTTAGTTTCTTGCTTTTCTATTCTTTTCCTTACCTTTTTTGCTAGTAAGGAACAGAGGAAGTGTTGCTGTAGTTTGCTGGTGGTTCGTGAATGTAAATACTGTTTCACTTAAATTTGTGAATGGTCATTAATTCTTTTCCCTTTGCTTCCTTTTCTATGGTTGGGAGAATATGGGAAGAAACTTCTCATATACATTGGCTGGTTTGAAACTCACATTTCCCAAAATTTCCCTTTAATATAACAATATTTTAATTTTGGTCATTGAGTTTATTTGTTATCATAACCTGAATCACAATACATAAAAACTACCTCTAATTACTGGGTGCTGTTAATAGATTTGCAAGGACAGAGATGAAGCTGAGGTCTGGTTTACTGCTCTTATGGTCTTAATTTTGGGAGGTGACAATAGCAAGCCTAAAAGTGATGCAAAAAGTGATAATACATCACCAGAAAGTCCATTAGCTATACACAAAGAAACTGTTTACCTAATGTGTCATCTACAAGCAGTGATATCATCTATAAGGTTTCCTACTATGAATTGCCAGATAATCCAGTCATTCTCTGTTTTATTTATTATATCTTTCCATGTTTTGCTTATTGTAGGATCCCAGAGATATCCAAACTGTTCCACTCCCATATGAAGGCTCTCCGCAGCACAGACTGGGAAAAGCTTTTTCTGAGGTTTTAACATACACTTGTACAACGAAGGCCTTAACTCAGACTGATTCAGTTTCCAAGCATTCCAGTTCATTATCGTTCGGGTGGTTAGATAACTCCTTTGTTGTTGATTCATTTCGAAGTAGTTTACCTAGTGCATTGAGTTCATCCAGCCAGGGATCTTCTTTCAAGGATTTTGATGCATTAGGTGATGTTTTTATCTGGGGAGAAGGAACCGGTAATGGACTGCTAGGTGGCAGTGTACATAGAACTCAAACTACTTCTGTTTCCAGAATAGATGCCCTTTCACCTAAGGCTTTTGAATCAACTGTGCCCTAGATGCTCAAAATATCTCTTGTGGGAATAAGCATGCTGTTTTAGTCACAAGGCAGGGCCAGATCTTTAGTTGGGGTGAGGGAAGTGGTGATAGGCTTGGGCATGGAGTTGAAGCTGACGTTTCTCAACCAATGCTCATTGGTGCTCTCAGTGGGTCAACTATTGGATTAGTTGCCTGTGG